TAAATCAAGAGAGAAGTAGAGTCATTTTCTCATAGACTTCTATACAATCTGACGTTAAGGTAATTCAGTATTTGCTTCACTTCTCATGTTGCTGCCCGGTTGACATCAGCCACCGCGATCCATCCATGTTAATTCGTCACTGTGTGTGTGTGTCCAACATTTTTCACAGAGGTCATCTAATTTTTACAAAAATGAAAATGTTTGCTCACAGTGGCTTGAATAAATTAGCTCCACAAGACAGAATATTCTTTTCATTCTCTGTTTTATGATGAGGAAGAGGCAATAACTTCCCCGTTCTCTGTAGAGTCATCTGGTGCTGCGTGCTCCTCTGAACCTCCTCTCTCGGCTGTTGTACCGTAACAAGTAACTGGCAGCACCAACCCCCAGAACCACCTGCTGTGTTTGTGTACAAGTGTTTACCTTGTTAGGTTTCATTTGATATTCAGCAAAGACGAGCATTTGTGTCTCTCTGATTTCCCGCTGGTGATTTACACTTTGGCTTATAGCGCGAGAGCTGCAGAGAAGATGACATTTCGTCTGAAAAGCTGTCACCTTCGTCGTCAGTCCCGCTATTTTTCCCCTCTGGCTCATCCTCCTTTTCACTGCCAGTCCAACATCTTCTCCCTCCTCTAATCCCTCTTTCTCCCTCTCTCTCTCTCTCTCTCTGGATCACTCCTTTAATGTAAACCTCTGTCTCATCAGCTCCACCTGTTTGTTTTTATGCAGGGGACATGACTGTGAGTGTTGAGGTGAAGATAATAGGGAATTCAGAAACTCTTCCCTGCGAATGAAACCGCGCCGCCTCGGAGGAAACTGACGAAGGAACTTTTTTCTTTACAGCAGAGTTTATTATTATATATTATTATTTCCTTTTCCTGGAATCTCTTGTGCTGCAAATTCAGTTAATTTCCCAAAAAGACCAAATGATTGGCTCCATGAATATCTAAGCGAGTTGTGAATATCTTTTGAAGCCTTAAGTATCATAAGTTATGAAGTAATAACCTTTTCGTAGGCAGCAACTCTTTAGAATAGATTTAAACAAAACATAATAGAACGGTTGGTTGTTTCTACTTTCATTGTTAAACCTGATTTACTTTAAACTTTCTGTTAATAAATAATCATGTCATCCTCAGAAGTTACACCACCTCCTCCGTCTGTTATTTCCTTTGGAGGAAGTGAGAGATCTTTCTAAAAACAGTTGCCGACCAGCATTCGTTCCAAAGTATTCTTTATAAAATCAGAGTTCAATTCATTTGTGTATTATGTCATTTAGATAGAGAGCTAAGATCCCGTCTTGCGCAGCCTAAAGCAGTTTGAAGATGTCCACCAATGGGGTTTAGTGTGCTTAAAAATGTCCGTGAATAAATAATAAAAAAGGGTCAAGCGCCCGAGTTAACTCAGGCTTTAATGAGTCTGAGAGATGGAGGAATAAAGCTTGACATGGCCCTCTGGGTCTGGAATGGAAATAACCTATGTCTCTATTGGTTGTGTGTGTGTGTGTGTGTGTGTGTGTGTGGTATCCGGGGTTATTTGTGGTCCTTTCATTTGAGTCGGGCTGCTGTAGATGTTTGTTCTCGGTCCACAGGGAGGATTGAGGAGGATGAAGCGCATGTCAAAAGCTAGTGAGTGCAGCTTCCTCGGGGAGGAGAGGCGTTGTGTTCACCAGGTGTTTGATCAGCAGAATCTCATCTCGATAGTCAGACGGTTTCATCCAGCATTAGCTTTACCCTCCAGTAAATAATGGGCAGTAATTCGTAGATATCCCACAAAGTTATTTTGTATTCTTGAAACCAGGATGAAGGCCACACAGTGCGGGCGGTGGACGGGTCCAACAAACAGTGATATTTGCAGATACATAGATAGATATATTTGTCACGTAACTTGCATAATTAAGTAACGGTATTTTTGTAGCTATTTTGATCCAAACAACAATATTTTCCTAAACATAACTAAGTAGTTTCCTTTGAAGTTTATTTTGAAAAGACTGTATATGTAACTAGTGGAAAATGACATGTGTTGCTGGCTTTTGTAGGAATAAACACATAAAATGAGGAGTCATTTTTTTGTAAGATATTATACAAACTACTGTATGAGGATATTTTATTCTAATGCAAGTACTTAAGCTTCCTTTGGATCTCTCTCTCTTTCTTTCCATCTATCTTACTTCCTCTCATCTTCCACAAACCGCTTCCTCGCTTTTAATGAAACCAATCTTCTTCCTTGCCCCCCCCCCCCCCCCCCCCCCCCCCCCCCCCCCCCCCCCCCCCCC